GTTCATACTTGTCAAGTCTTATGGATTTAGTTACTATACCAGATGCCAAATTTTGTAGTGAAAGTACTCCATTCTCTACTCAGCTGAATTCCTCCTCATTTCTTCTGTCCCAAGACAGCACTGCTCACCATACACCTGCAGTGCAGATCACAGTGGCACTTGAAGAAAAGAATTTACGTCCTCTTGAGTAACTGTAGTTCTTTGAAACCATGACTATGCTATAGTAAAAAATCCAATTTTTAAATAATTTTATGCAATGAATCTGATATTAAAATCCATAAAATATTAATAAAGCAGAACTCTGCGCTCATTTTATTTCTATAAATCTGAAATAAAGCTTAAACCATGTTTTATAGTGTTGGTACTGCATACAGCTCAGCAAACAATGAACAAGCAATACTGATTCAAAAAGCAGAAAACATTGCTTGATTTGAACTGCTTTTGTTTCTTTGTTTCATGAAGGCATCTCTCAAAATAACTTCATTCTGAATGCAACTCATTAATGTGTGCTACCCGCCCCCTGCCTTCACAAGCCTTCTCCAACTGGCTAAGCATGGTGACTGGAGCTTTTTGGATTAATTTTCCTTAAGTGACCTACTTTGCAGGGAAAGATAATCATGCATTTATAGCCTCTGGCACTTTATTCAGGTCACAGATGGACAGATAACAAAGCTATTCCTCAGTGAATTACTGGGGTTGTAACTAATCCCCAATGAGAAAGGAGATTGGCCTGATGTTAATTGGTCAGAATGCCTAAAAGTATGGGAGATCATTGATTCCTACTTTGATTTTCAGGGGGTGTCACCGTTAGGCTGTATGATAGCAGCCAGCAGTTGTTCTAGGAGTGTTTTGTGGTAGTGATTGAATTACTGGATGCCGTAGATGTTAAATATCTGACTTTGAATCCTTTGCCTTGACGGTGGAGCACCATTTGGTGTTCTGATTGCGGACGTGTCTGATGTTACACATGTACCATATACCATGGCTGGCACCAAGGATCAGAGATTCAGGAGAGTTTTGACCTTTCCATCGCTAACAAGTGCTTACGATCCCGTGAACATTTGTCATTGTAAAGATAATTTTCTATGCAGTCAGACCTAAACCTCTGTTATGAAAGCATTTTTTTGTATAGCATGATCAGTTGAGCCAATAAAACGCATGTTTTGCTGTTATCCATTAGAGGCCCATTCTCCCTCTTATATTTGGCAGTAATGTAGTGATGTATGCAAAACAGTTTGTTCTCTTATTTTCAGATGTTGAGAAGTTTCACAAGGGAAATGACTGGGCTTTATTCTCTGTTAGGATATTTTTTAAAGTTTGGTGGAGCTTTTCACACTGAGAAACAGGCAACAAGCAGGAGTGTTAAGGATGTCTCTTTTTTGAAGGACTGTCTTGAAACTTTGATTGTGCCAGCTGACCACTGCCAGCCAGTGATGTTAATTCTGAGAGGTCTGAAGAAATAGCTGTTAAAATTGTGACACTGCCAGCAAAAGGATGGATGGCTTTCAGAACAAAACAAAACATGTATGCACAGGACTGCAAATGTGTATGCCTGTGTCCCCCAGTGCAAACATACAGCTTTGCTCTTTGCATCACAGTGCAAAACTGAAAGGTGTTCTGGTAGAAGTTGCATTGCAGTTTGGATCACTTTGATCACTAAGTGTTTGTATTTCATGTGCTTCCTACAGCAAATAATCACAGAACACAAGGAATGATTTGGGTTTGGTTTAGATATTTACAACTGTTAAGACAAGCTGACAGACCTGTATGCGTATTTCCCATGACAGAATATGATGCATTGAGGGCAAAATCAATTCCTTTTAGCAAAAAGCCTTTCAAACAGAAATTAAGTAAAAGGTTTTAGAGAGAAAGAGCATATGCAGCCCTCCCGTACCTATCCTGAGGGACTGTAGTGCAGCTGTTCCACCATCAAAATTCTGGCCATGGGCTCTAGCAGTTGTTGGGAGCCCTTTGAATTTTCCACAGGTGTCCTTCAGCTTCTGGATCTGGGTGTTCCCTCTCCTGGGTGTTAGCCCCAGCATCTTCTCTTTCGAGAGAGAATTCTCATTGTGTCTGAACTGTATGTTTCTCAGCATTTCCTCTGGAAGTGTTGATAAGTTTGAACCAATGTAGCTCTACAGATACAGGCATCAATGCAGATACTCTTAGTCTAGCTTAAGAACAGCCTGCTGTAGGTGTGCTTTTATCTGGTCCTAAAATAATTAATCTAAATCCAAATAAATCCAGTTTTAACCAAAATAATCCACAAAGAATAATTTTAATTATTATTTTTGGGTTTTCTTTTAGTTTGTCAAGAAAGTATTTGAAAAAAGTAAGTCAGCACTGCCAGGATTGGTTATGGGCTATTTTAATCAAATTACGATTTTATGAAACAAAAAATTCACATCTTTGGTTCTGTGTTTCCTGGTATGATATCCATCACATGGTTGTGTTTATGTCGTGGTTGTGGAGTTTTGTATGAAGAAACAGGATAAGTTTAAATAGTTGGGAAGTCATCGTGTATTATCAGATACAAAACCAAACTAATTTAGGTAATATGTTTCTATTTTATGGAGCCATAGTACAATCTGTAGAAACTACAGTAGAAATTATTTGTAGAAAAAAACAGTATATGCTACAAACAAATAACATCTGCATTATAATAGATGTGTTCATGCCCACTATGTAGATCTCTTAGGGATAAAAAGTACGACTGAGAAATAATACTGATGCATTCCAATTGAAAACAACCAATTTAAAAATAACCAGCTCCAAAGAAACCTTCTAGCTTTTGAACCAGAGCTCCTGACTGTTTTCTTGGCAGGGTACTAAGGGCACTGGGCAAAGGTGAAGGTGAAACATGCCATGAATCCCTCTTGCGTTATTACTCAGCACTACCTGAGAGTCTGTCTTCTGGGATCTTCATGGCTTAGAAGTTTACCTTGTATCACTGAAAAAAAAAATCCATTCGCTTCACTGTTTGCATATTAAATTAGGATATTAAGTGATCAAACAGTTCTCATAATGTAACTGTCCCGGATACAAAGCTTTTACTCTGCTGTGTTACGTCAATATAAAATCTTGTGTGTGTATTTCTTCTGTGGGGAAAGATGAGTAGTAAGGCACATTTTGTAAACATGTATAGGTGTCATACACACAATTTGCTACTAGTCCTGCCATAGCAGGATTACTAAATAGAACTACTCACTTGCGTGAAATGGCTGGAATGGATATTTGTTTGCCAGATCAGAACATCAAGGAGGAGTTATGAATATCATAATGAACTAGCGTTTTTTAGCATGTTTTTTACAGAATTTGTTGATCTGCTTTGCAACTGTAAGTGAAAAGTAAATCTGATTAGAGAAATGGAAGAGTAGACATTGTTACAGAAATTTGTTCTCATCTTCTGTAATACGTGAGTCAGTGTTCCCTGATGAAATAGGGTTATCATTATTTTAGTTTAGTCATTTAAGATTTAAGATTTCCAGTGGTGAACTTCTCTAATTAGTTGAATAGATCATGAAATGCTAGAGCAATTGGAAAGAACCTGTATTCCTCTTCTGAAGGAACTTGTATTCCTGTTCAAGGGGATGAAGCAGCGTATTTGGAAGGAAATGCTGGAGTGTAGAAGGATCAGACATCATGTTTTAGTGAAACAGTAGATATGATCTGAATTGGTAATGAATGTTCCTTGGTGCCTGGTTGATTCTGAACACCTAAGGAGCATTTATAGGAGCCATAATTTTTTTGAAATATGCTTTGGTGGAATGAGCTGTGCATATGCATGAAATGGAAGAAAGAACCTTGGTGGACAAAATGGTGGCAAAATATTTCATTGTTCATATGTACAAAGTTCAAATAAACCTATATACTTACATGCAAAATAGTAATAATGTATAATTAAATTAAGCATATTAAAATAAATTTATTATAATAATTATATTATAGTAATTCCTCATAATTCATCACAAATGTATATACAAAATCATTTTTGCCAGACTTACAGATCTTTGGTTTTCAATGATGCCCTTAATAGTAAACCAATTAGACAAAATGAATTATTTGTATTTTATTTATTATATAAATGTATTTTCCATGTAGGTGTGCACCTCATATGCTGTTAGCATTATACAAGTAAACATTAATGAGCTATTTGCATACTAATACATTCACCTGATGCGTCTGAGATGTTTTTCCCTTGCATACTGAGTGCCAAGATGGGGTCTGCGGATGATGGCAAACTAATTACCTGTGAAAATTAAAGCCCTGTGTTTGCTCAGAGAATAACTAAACTGTAGGCAAGGATTGTTCCTCCATAGGCTACTTCAGTAAACCCCAACATTGGCTTCCTTTTTGCAATAAAGCAATATCTTTATGCTCCTTGATCTTTAGTCTCTTTGCTGATGTTATTGAGGAAAGGCATATTAATAGTAATATGGTGTTGAAATTCAAGATCTTTGAGTTTGCAAGTACAAATTAAATACGGTATTTAATAAAGAAAGTATATTTCAGGGATAGAAGGCTTGCATTAAGACAACTAAGCTATAGTTCCAAATCACTACATTAGCTCTCTTTACTCAAGTTGGTGACAAATCTTTTTCTACAATATATTTCATTAAGTAGTAGATTAAAAAAGCACTTTCACTCAATACATATATACTAAAATAGTGACTAATCATATACATATTCTAGAATTACATGCTGTTGCTTTTGGGAAGTTGATGTGGATTTCATCATCCTTAACATTTTATTAAAAAAAAAAAATACTCTATTGAACTGGGAGGGTAGAGGTTGTTTTCCAGTAATGATACATCTATATTTTCTGAATTTATAGTTTTGATGATTTGAACATTTGGATTCTCATTTGGACATTCAGTCATAGGATTTTGCATAATTCTATTTTTCCTGGATATTTTGAAAAAAAATTACAATACATATTAAGAAAAAAAAAAAAGGGAAGATACCTGGGGGCTCTGACCATTCTCATTCTGTCTGTGCAGTTCGACAATCAGCAAGCATTGGGAGGCAGAACTGGCCACGCTCAAGGGTAATAACGCTAAGCTCACAGCAGCCCTGCTGGAGTCCACTGCCAACGTAAAACAATGGAAACAACAACTTGCTGCATATCAGGAAGAAGCAGAACGTCTTCATAAGCGGGTAGGTCAAGGCGAACGGCCAGGATCCTTGAGGTAGAAGTACTGGTGACTGTGTTTGCTTATTTTCAAGTAAAACAAGTTTATTGTTGGGGCTCTAGGTTAATCTTTGAGGCAGAAATTAATGATTACTTTAAAGCGCACAGGGTTCCTCCGTTGGGAACTTCTTTCCTTTGTAGCAGTTCTTTTTCTGCGAAGGGTATTGTTGCAGGAAGAATTATCTCACCTTATGATGTGTTTGCCAGCTTTCACTCTTCATTTGATGCCATCACATCTGTTCCAGGATCTTCTGCATAGCATTACACTTGAGTCCCTCTTGCATTTAAGCCCACAGAAACTTGACATCAAATCTGTAAGTTAAAGAAACCCTGTTGTAGTTTCCACATATAACAAAGATGAACAGCTTCTCTCATCCTTAAACCTAAAGAAAACTGAATGCAGATTCAAGATCATTATATGCAATTAGAGATCTGCTCCCACTTTTGTACAGGAGGGGCTGGGTCCTGTTCCCTTCACTGTAAATTTTGCAGAGGTCATTTGGCAAACCAGAAATTAGTGCACAGTGGGGGAAGGAATTACAGTGTTCGAGGGAGCAATAAAGCATGCAAGATTGAAGGTTGCATTATGAAAACAAGTATACAATATTTTCATTTATCTTCTCTTTTCACATGTAACTTTATATATGGTATAATGTATTCACCTTTATCCATATGAATTTGTCATCATAGCTTAGGACACATTTTTGTGCAAAGTGAAGGCAAGATTAGCACATGAATGGAGGGAAGATGTCTTTGATGAAGCTGTATTACTTCTGTTAATACCAGTTAACTTAGAAAAATATCAAGGAGATGTACTTAGTTAAGAAAATAAAAACAAACAAAAGCATTGCATTTTTGCATGAAAACATGTTTCATATATATGCTGACAAGAAGGGAAAGGTCACGTAGCAAACGTGGCAGACCTTTTAATTTGGTTTTGTATGCTGTGCTCACCTATATGAAATAAAGTATGGCAATGACAGCCAAATCCTGCAAACTGCGAAGGATTCTTTCAGACCTGCACTGGACCTGTCCCATCTGGAGGCTGTTAGTAGTCCCAAGAACAAGGCTCATATTCCTCTGAGGGGGGGAGAAATTCAGCAGTCTACATCTAAACTGAGGATGTGGAAGAGTAGCAAGAACTCCCTTGAGCTTGAGAAACGTGGAGAAATGCGTGTTGTTGGGGCTGTCCTATACCCAGACTGAGTTGCAGGCAAGGATCCTGAAGTCCCAGGCAAATGATTTGATAGGGAAGAATGACAATTTCCGATGGACTGTAACTGTGTGTGCCATAGCTGGCTGGACGAAATGCATGAAGTGTAATTAAAACTGGTGCTTTTTGCAAAGTGCTTTCAGTTCAAGAAATTGGCAGTTGCTGACAAAACTGCTTTGCTTCAGAAATTTTCCCATCAGGCACAAGCTTGTCGTCTGTTTGTACAGAGGGAGACTTTCCCTTTGTCTGTCATCTCATTTAAGCTTCTCCTTTGGAAGGGTGGGAGTTCTAACCTGTGCTCGAGGTTTGTGAATAGATGATAATAGTCATTGTTGAAAAAATTATTTAAATTACAATCTTGTATTAAAATTACTGTAGTGCAGACATTCGGGTGGATTTGACCACCAGATAGTTCTTCAGTGAAGAACTCATTACTAAAATGTGGACATAATGAGGTAGCGTTCTTCCTAATAAAATGTATTAACAGCTTTTGTTGCAAAGCTGAGACAATACAGTCCTTACATAAGAAAGAAAAGAAAAGTAACACATAACAACAGCAGCTGCATTTGCCATGGGGAGACCCAACCAGACAAGACGGGCAAAGATCCCTTTTCCTTGATGTTACTCTCACTCTTAGGCAAATCTTATTTGAAATCTGTTATTGGAAAGCAGAATTAATGTATATAGGAAAGTTTAGCATGTCACTTTGCTTTTATATGATACTTATAATAGTATCTTAATATAATAATAATAATATAACTTATTATAGTTAACAGAAGTAGTAACCAAGTCTTTGTAGCGACATTCATTAATAGCTGATGATTTTTCATAAGCTTTGACCAGCAAATTTCCTGCAATTATTTTGTATTTCTGCAGGAACGCAAAATCTTGTAACATGGGATCATCTACATATGTTCTTTTGATCACTGTTTACATGCCTTCATTAAATGTTTCTGTAATCTGTGACCTTGGGGCTTGCTGATATCTCACGTAGAATATAGGAATGCTCTGTGCCTATGTCTCACTGGGCATGCCTGTGCATTACGACAGGATACATCAAGAGTACTGCCCTCTGTTGGAATTGCTTTTAGAAAAACATAGACTTCGCTAACTCAATAAATCGAACTTCATAGGCAAAAGTATGCAGATCACTAAAAAAAAAAAATCAATCTCAATCTGCTATCCATACAGTGCAATACAAGAGTTCTTCTAACCTGCATGCTGGAGACTAATCTTTCGAATTGAAATAGTGCCCCATTTCAAAAAGAAACTGCAAGTCAGATGCTTCTCTCTTACACAGATCAGAAATGTGCTGTTGAAATGGCAGATCTGGAGACTGTTGGTTATGGTACATGTGGTAGCAAGCAGTGTTAAGTCACTGTATTGTGTTACCTTTCTGTTCAGTTTATCCATTAAGCTCAGTATAAACACGTAGCTGCAGCTGATCCAAAAAATGTTCCTCAAACTGGAATCCGTCTCACCTGAGATTATGTAAAAGTTATATATCAAGTCTAAGATGGTAATCTTTTCTTCTTGTAATTCTTGGAGAGACAAAAGCATGAAGAGTAAGTGTCCCAGTCTTAAGAAAACTAAGGTGTTGAGTTGAATTTGCTTCTCTAAGTGCTTGTCTTTCTCCATAGGATAATCATCTAGATAGTCCTATAGACTTACTTTTAGTCAGATGAAATGGACTCCATCCTTAGTTCATAGGATTACAGAATAATTTAGCATGGAGTGGAACTTTGGAGGTTATCTGGTCCAAATCTCCACTGAAAGCAGGGCCAGCATGAAGTTAGATCCAACTCCAGGGCTGGATCAGGTTACTCAGGGCTGTGAATCAAGTCTCAAAAAATGCAGATCCCACAGCCTCTCTGGGCAGCCTGTTGCAATGTTTGACCACCCTTGTCAAATTATTTTTCCTAATATCTTACCTAATTGAAATTTGCCATGCTGCAACTCACATCTGTTGCCAGTTCAGAAGAAAAATGGGGTTTGATCCAAAAGAAACTTTGGTGAGAAAAGTTGAACAGACCGCATTTTTAGAAATACTCATAGAAAAATGGATTTCAAGGACAAAGAAAAATTTGTAAATTAGTTTGCATGTTCAGTTGTAATATAGTTGCTGTTTTATATGGAATAGTTGGCTGTCATGGCATCTTGCCCACTGGAGAGGAAGAATGTGTGTCGATACATATGCATTTTAGGGACACACTCACCTACAAGATCATAGTCTTGTATAAAATAGACCAGCCTCCAAAATGAAGAATGGTACTGCCAACATTAGCTTCTATATTTAGTTCGATTTAATAACATATTATGTGGTTTATATATAATGTAATTGTGGTATTCACTCCTTACGTGCTTTAGGTTTATATACAAGTTTTGGTGCCTGAGTCATCGGTCTGCAAGCTACAGCAGACATATGCTCTGTCAAGTGTGGTGTGTGGAGGGAGGTAATGCATATTGATTAGTAAACTTTGCATTATTATTTCCATCTTTAGTTTCGTCTTTATATAAATAGCCTTATAAATAGCCTTATTTACATAGTTTCCTCTTGATAGTAAAAAAAAAAATTATTGCTAATACTGTCACACTAGTTGACTTCTTAAGGTACATTTTACCACAGCTTGAACTTTGTCATGTTTTATTTATAAACATCCTTCGATTTTACATTATATCTCATTCTTTTATCTTCTGTTTTTTTCATTCACTGTGGTAAACTGGGTCTTTCATCTTGTGTAGTATTTGTTGTAAACTTTGCTTTTTAAGTTGATATAAATTAATCTAAGCCCAACATTTTTTATTCTATAATTGTTTTCAAATCTGACTGAAATAGTTTTTCTGTGTATCACATTCTTTACACTTTTTAAAATACAGAAACAAAGCTAAAATGCCCCTTTCTTTGATTTTGATTGCATTTTTTAAAATTAATTTCATTTATTATTTGCATTTCTGATTAAGATTTACTCATCTATCAGTTCAGTTTTTCCTATTAACCTACATTTATTTGCTTTCTCTGAGGTCTTTATCTTCCTTCTTCCATTTGTTCTCTGCATTAATAATGCCTAGAGCTGAGATGAAACAGAATACAAGTTCAGAGTGGCTGAGTGCGAAGTTCTCAATAAATTAAAGTTTTGTGCTCTCTTCTGATATATTGTGAGCTTAAGTCAGAAATACTGTACTTTGATATTTTGTCAGACATTGTATTTTTCAGAAGTTTGCTAAATAAGTGTATGGATTTTTCCCTCTAAAATACAAAGAGATAATAATTCTGGGAAGATGTGATGCCCAGTCAAAAGCTTAACTTGGAGCTCAGCCTTCTCTCCTCTAATCTGCTCAGAAGCAACTTAACAAGGATTTCCCTTAAACAGGGTTGGGGAGCACTCCTACACACCTTGCATAGCTTTTTGAAGTCAAAAGGGATTCATGAGTTTAGAACAGTTCAGTGACAGAAGGAAAAACCCTGAAGTGAGCTACTTCAGACAAACAGAATAGCATTGGTACTAACATTAATCCTGATACCACAAAAAGGAAAGGATTGAATGGTGATATGAATTATGGAAAGTAACCCAAAGTTCTGTCTTTGTCATGTTAAAAATGAAAATTATGAATTTTTTTCTTGCATGCTAACTGCTAAAGTAAATCATCCTATGACACTGGGCAATAGCACAGAGTAATAACACCAGTGCATAATAATAAGAGCTGCAGTCCTTGAAGATCATTCATCTGCAGGAAAAGAAACCTAAGATAAAA